ATTCGATTTTATTACTCATCACAGGATCTCTACCAGCTTACCCTCAAACTGAAATTCTTTTAGGTAGGGTAAGTTAATCTATGAGACCTTGGGCATGGCCAAATACATCAATCGAAAAGGTTTGACCGCCTGAGTGCAAAATTGTAATCAGATCTCAAATCGGCCAAGAGATGGCAAGGCTATGAGCTAAATGTTTGTACTTGAAAATAACCTAAAAAACTTGGAACCATTGTATGAGTCGCTGTGTCGCGGCTAAAAAAATGCGGTCGTAAGGAAATTACCGGGAGATAATTTTTGTTAACGAACTGAATTTACACACACACGCGCGGTTTCATAAGAATCAGAGCACCGTTACGTGCGACACTTCATATGGAAGGTCACATATAGAAGTGGCAGTATTACTCATGGAGGTGGGGGCGGGTAAATGGCAAGTGTGAAGATGTTCCAAAACAATTATATAACAGTGAAGCAATAAGCCACTGTCAAACTAAACTTTTTAAGATTTTATATGGACAAGAATGATCTCTCTATTATTCTAGCTTTGTCGTCTTTCAAGCATGTAAGCGTGAAATTAGATTTTTGTATGTGCAATAATGACAAACATACTTATATTAATCTTATATGACGTTTGACAGTTTTCCAATTTAATTTATACGGTAATTTATTATAAAAACTTGATCAAGAAGGATGGAATCTAACACTCTTGCTTTTTAACAATACATTAATTTCAATAAAATAAAGATAATTTTACATATAGCCTAAAGCTCGCCTCTAACAACTCAGAGAAATATTGTAACGAAAAAATTCGGGGTTCGATCTTAGAGGTTGGCAAAACACTGATAGCACATTGAACAGCTTTCTTTCTCTCGCGTCAGCCAGTGTAGGCTATAGATATCAAAGGTAATCTTTTGAGGTTTTCGAGGTAAAGAAACCGAGTTTCAAATAAACTATGAGAACAATGACTCTGTAGATTTATCCAGGAATATCTTCTGAAAATAATCTGTAGTAAGTAAGTTACGCCAACAAATCAACAAAAAAAAAAGAAAGAATACGCAATGGATTAACAATCTTACTTTATCTAAAGCAAAAACCTCAGAATATATATATATATCAGGCAGGTGGTAGCACTGCCTATGTAGGGATGGCTCGGATTGTTCATCGAAATGATATTTTAAATATCTCCTCAACAGGTCATCAGTACTTTACAATACTTCACAGTATTTCGTTATATAACAATATTTATTTAATGACCGAGTCACAAGCTCTGGGAATGTCTTTAAATACCATAGCAAAAAGTTTGAATTTCTTGTTCTTTCTTTTACTTCTTTTTGATTACAGAAGTACTACGAATAATTAGTAGTCATTAATAACAAATAATAATTCTAGTGTAAACGATGTTATCATTACCTCTTGAAGTTAGCTTTCTTATAGAAATATGGTGTTCCTATATAAAGCTCAAGTACAGGGTGAAATAGGAATTACCAGCCAATCTATATAAATAAACGTCAGTGTGTATGTTTGTGTATATATCTGTTCCTTATACGTTTCCACATTTCTTGATCAATCAGCACCAAACTTGACAGTTATACAGGATGACAAGAGGAAAGTCGAGGGGGGGCTAGATCCCCACTTAATTTAATATTGATAGAATTCTTGAAAACAGTATGTCTTTCTTTTCAGTATTAGTACTTTTATGTATTTTATTGCACTTTTAATGTTTATTATGTTAAGAGAAAAAATAGAAGCACAATTTCCCATCTTTTGTTACAAACTAGTAATAGGTAAACAATAGATATTACAGTTGAAACGTAACTGTATTTAGAACTTGGTAATAAATACGACCTTCCTATGTCTATTGAAACACTACATTAAAAAAAACAACGATAAGCAAACAAGTATAGAAAATTTTTCGTTGTTTTTGAAGGATTGATATTAGCCATCCTTATATTTACTTCCATTTTTGAAGTTTTTCATTACTTGTTTATATATTACATACATCTACGGATATTTACTATGTTCAGTAGAAATGATTTAATTGCAGCTATTAAAACATGAAACAAAGTAGTTGAGACGTTATTTTCTGATCCAGGAAAATAAATTCACCGGTGATAATGGCCACAGAAATAGTGTAAAAAAAAAGGGAGAAAAATTACTATTAAAATAGCCCTCCCCCCTCACATGAACACATAAAAATAATATGATTATAATATTTATGTAAAAAAAAAAAAAATCCGCCGTTGCACTACTATTGGTGATTATAATGTTTATGTAAAAAAAAAAAAAATCAACCGTTGCTGGTGTCATTATTACCGGACATATTACTTTGAGCATTTGTGTTTCTTTTGTCTCACTTCTACTTTTATTTCTAATATAAATACATTTTTATGATACGCTGATAAGAGAACGACTGCGAAACGTTAAGCATGGTTTAGAATTACTCTCCCATAAGAAAGGTACCTGTACAGGAATGCATGTCCTCAAACAACGCCTCAAGCAGCAAGAAACACGTTTTGACCTGCCTTCTTTCCGGACCCTGCTTTGTGGAAGCTACTGCTGCCTTAGACAAAGCATCCGGTACAAGTAGTTTTACACGTACTGCATGCGTCAAAATGTATTGCAGCAGAAACGCGGAAATAATTATAAAATTAATGTATACGTACACAACGACTTTTAAAAAAAAACGTCATTGCACTGCATAAAATACCGATTTTACAATGATAGATGAGTTAAGGTGATCATTCGTCCCACTTTCCATTGGCATGTCTCGTAAAGGATTCGTATTTTTTTACTTCAAGATCAATTCCAACAATTAGACCCAACTCTCAGCTGTAAAGAATTGCTTTGTTATTCCTTTCCTATCTTTGGGTCCCTTGGTGGGTCAGCAGTAAGGCTGTGGACTTACAACGCTAAAGATTCCCCGCAGTGGACAGAGTAACAAATAACTCCTTGTATAACTTTGCACTAAAACAAACTTATCGTCATCTTTAGCGACTTTACACCGTCCCAGAATTTAACGAAATAGACAATTGCTTTCGTTGATATTTACCCGAAGTAGAATTGAAAGGTTTCTAGAATAAACATGTTTTGTTTCTTTTTTCACCATATAAATGATCATTGGTCTGGGGTTTTTGTCATAAGATGAAAATATAACAAAACTAGAAAAAGGAGGCCCAAAGCGTGAGCGATTTGAAAGAAAACCAGTATATTCCGAACCGTACTGTGTCAAACTATAATGCTAATTTTCTTTAAATTTTCTGAAAACGTATTAAATTCCATAAGCCATTAATGTTCTTTCGAATTTAATAACGTAAAATATACATAAGTTTATATGGAAAGTTAAGAAGAGCCAGTGTTCACTTAGATAATGCTAACAGGAGATAACTCTGCAAGTTCTCAGCATATATGATACATTAAAATAATAATAACGTAGAAGGGCGGCTTTAGTTTTTTTTTTGTTAAGCATAATGCTACGCATTGGGCTATCTGTGTTATGCCCATTACGAGTATCGAAACCTAGTTTGAGAGGGAAGCACTAGAGAGCCATTCTAGTTTTTCCCACAGTTTATTGTTCTCACCACCTTAATGAACATTTTCACAATACACATTTTAATATTTAGGCATATACTAGGGATGGATCCAAGATTTTTGCTAGGTCATGAAATGAAAACTCTTAAAAAGGAATCACTTTCTTTATTGGGTCTAAGGGTACCTTTGTTTGGTAGTCCATAAGAAAGGGGGTTGTAACCCCTTCGGTTCTGCCCCTACATGCATAGCATATATTCTATTTGCAATGTTATGAACATCTGTCAATGAGTATCTAACCCTCTTCACG